AACACTGAAAAATGTATTGGCCCTGAGACACATACCCTCTACTTACCTCATTATTACTTTTAAAGGATCATTTTAGCTCACGATATGACACATGGCCTAGATTTGTCAATCACATCCTATATGCTTTCTCTTTCTCTTTCTCTATGTATCTATCTGTCTATCTATCTCCTCCTCCTCCTCCCTTCCATCCTCTCTCCCTCCCCACATCTCTTTCTAATGCTCTCACTGTGAACACTGACACAAATTCATGTAAACAAGATCATTGCTGTTTTCCGAGCCATCCTGAAATCACTGACATAGAATGACATTTTTCTCTAAGCCCTACATTTTTTATTAGTGATCTTTATACTTTATGCCCCAACAGCAGTGTATAGTCACAAAGAGGCCTCGCTGTGTCCCTGAAACATCAATCTTGTCAAACCTAATTGAATCAAAGCTCAAGCAGTTATAAATGGAGTACAGCTTGTCAAATAAAAAGAAAAGGAAAAATAAGAGATACACATCCAACCAATACTTTCATTTTAAGACATTCCCTGAGGAGAATACTTTTCAGTTTGCTAAAAATCTTTCTCCAATCTTTTCAGCTGTTCCAGTAGTCATAATGGTGCTCTTTTTTCAGCAACATTTACTCTATTCTGGGTTGTGATTCTGCCCAAGTTTAAGACGTCCCAAAGTAGAACATAGTTCTCTATGATATAAAGTTAATTATGTCCACTTCTCTGGGAGGCTGGCGTTTGGGGGCAAGTAATGCTTATGAAAGGGACAGAAAAAGTATCACAATGCCTAAGCATCCTCATTAATGGAACAAATACCCAACAGCTATCAATCAAATGAGGAAAGTTTTAATTTAGCTCCTGTTTTGTAGAGGTTTCAGACCTTCACAGTCATGGTGCTGTGCAGAGGAGAAGCAGTGCCTGGCCATGCAAGCAGAGGGCATCAGCGGGGAACCTCGGGCCCCCTCTGTACTCCACCCAGCAATAAGCCTAGCTGTTGCTGCCCCCCATACCCAGTGTGGGCCTTCTGTCTTCAGTAAATCCATTGGACCACACAGCACTATGCTAAATCAATCAGTGGACTAATCAATTACCTCAAACTATTAGTCTCAGCATCCCACACAGGTGATTCAGCCTTCTCCCAAAAGCCCCACTTGGGAACACCTGAGGCTTCAGGGGGACATCTAGAAGCAAGCCATAACATCACATACTTGTGGCTTGAGAGCCAGCTCGCATTTTACTTAACTCTTAATCACAAGTGTTATCCTTGGAAGTTAACTCTGTGTGTGTGTGTGTGTGTGTGTGTGTGTGTGTGTGTGTGTGTGTTCTGTGGTGAGTTAGTTGTGTCCTATACCAACTGCCTACACAAAGACTACCTCTGGAGAAATTAAAACCAAAGCCCCACTCAGTGCTAGCTTGCTGGCTGGCCAGATAGCCAGATAGCTCAGCGGGCTAGAGCACTTGCTTAGGAAGGCACAGGGACTGGGGTTCGATCCTCGGCTTGCTGTGCCAGCCCCAACCCGGGGGCGTGCTGAGCCTGGGCATGGTGGCACAGCCCTGTAATCCCAGCTCTCAAGAAGCTAAAAATAGGAGGATCACTACAAGTACAATCTGTGCAGTGAGACCCTGTAGACCCTAAACTAAGCACGTATTTAAAAAAATAAAGATTAAAAATTTTGTCATCTCAAAAATTAGCTTCAGGTCCACACTTCTCAGGTTAGTGGGTGCATGTGGACTGGAGACTTAGAGATAGCAAGCTGTAGCCTTTGGGGTGCTGAAAGCACTTGTTTTCTTGGGCTTAATATTGGTTATGGTGCTGGCGGTGCCAGAATTCATTCGGAAGAAGCTTATCAACTCTTGCACTGCTTTTTCCCTTTGAGGTGTACATCAACAGGAAAGAATTTTTTTTTTATTCTTAAAGTACCTGATGCTCTTTAATTGAATTAAGGAAGTTTGTCTAGGAATGAAACTATTTCATCATGCAATGCAAAATAATAGTGGTTTCTAAAAAAAGATTTTACCGTATGTGAACCTGTATTAGCTGCACACATTAACGGGGTTCAACGCAGGCAGCCAGTGCTGGCCAAAGTCAGTCTCCGTTTAGCTATTTCCCTCCACCTTTCTGCACAAACTCCAGCAACGACCAATTTACATTCAGGTTGACTTTACTGACCTGCTACACACGAAAAAGAACACGTGGTTCCCCTTTTGGATCTGGCTTATCTCGTGTGACATCGTGTCTTTCAGCAGCCAAAGCAGGCTTTGGAGCTAATTGAACAGAATGAACGTGCTTAATCTATTCTTTGCTCTCCCTGCTCTTCCTATGTTTTTGTTTCTCTGTTTGTTAAATGAAAATTAAAATTTTTTAGGTAGTAAAAAATTTGAAAAATTTGGATTGAACAAATAATAGAATTGCACTTAACACATCCAGTGTATGGCCTGTGTTACTTTATTTTTATTATTATTGTTATTATTAAATACTTTTTTGTGGCTGGCTCAGCACAGCCTCAGGGAGAGGCTGGCAAGGTACATGGTGCTAGAAATCAAACCGCAGTCCCTGCGCTTGTCTAAGCTTGCCTAAGCAGGTGCATTAGTCCACAGAGCTATCTCATCAGCCAGGACTGTGACATTAATAGCAACAATAACAATAGGGTTGAACTTGAAGTAGATGAAGAAAAAATTGAGAATTTGCTGGAGTGGCTGATGTGTGGTTGTAGTAGTGGTATCGTTTACACAGGAGAGAGAAAAGCAGGAATTGGAAGCAAAATTGACATCGCTACACTCAGGAGGAAGAAGGAGATGAACTGGGAAATGCCAAAATACAGAGTCCTAGGTGGCGCCAGAGTTTTGAACTGCGTGCTTCGGCTCAGCGTCCCAGTCCCCTGTGTGTGGTCTGGAGTGCTGGAACATGGCAACCGTCCTCGCTGCGGAGGAGCTAGGCTCCTTGAAATACAGCGACCTACAGAACTTGGCCAAGAGTTTGGGCCTCCGGGCTAACTTGAGGGCAAACAAGCTCTTAAAGGCTTTGAAAACCCACCTTAAACAGGAAGCACAAAAAGAAAATAAGAATCAGGATGAAAGTCAAGCTTTTGCATCCTCTGCTGATGAGACTGAGGTACAGATTAACAGTGGGGAACAAGCCACGAAGGAGCAGGTGGACCACATCACCAAAACAAGGAGGCGGCGGCGACGGCATAAGACAGTCCCTAGGGAACCTGTCTCACAGCAGGATCATTCTGAGGTAAGCCTGAGTCATTTCACTGAACTACAGAGTCAAGACCTGGAAAACTGGGATTTCGGAACTACTGGAAAAGTCCCTTCTGTATCAGACAAGAGCCTTGGAGATGAGCATACAGTTTCCTTAGGAAAAGATAATGAAGATTCAAAGGAACCTTCAGAAAAACATTCTCGCTATACAGATGGATTTTTCATACTTGGGAACAGGAAAAGAACTGCAGTTACTACTCCAAACTTTAAAAAGCTCCATGAAGCTCATTTTAAGGAAATGGAGTCCATTGATGAATATATTAAGAGAAGAAAGAAACACCACTCCTCTCATGAAATGAAGAAGCAGTCCAGCAGTGAGCGAGGGGTAACGACACCCAAGCCTCCAGGAAGCGTCTCCATAGCTTGCACTCCCGCCAGCCAGCAGCGCTCACAAGGCCAGGCCCAAGGCCCTGCCAGGAGGAGAGCTATGAGTCTAAAAGGGTCAGCTAAGCACTCTGTTCTCTCAGCAACGAAAATGAACGTCAGATTTTCAGCTGCAACTAAAGATAATGAGCATAAGCGTTCACTGACCAAGACTCCAGCCAGAAAGTCTCCACATGTCACCATGGCTGAGAACATGGCAAAAGGCCAGACTGTGTTCGGGACACCCACGTTAAAGACCACAAAGGGGAAATCTGCTGCTACTGTTATTACTCCATTCAAGTTGACAACTGTGGGAATGCAGACTCCTGTCTCCAATAAGAAACCAGTATTTGACCTCAAAGCAAGTTTGTCTCGTCCCCTGAACTATGAGCCACATAAAGGAAAGTTGAAACCATGGGGGCAATCTAAAGAAAATAATTATCTGAATGAACATGTGAGCAGAGTAAGTTTCCATAAGAAAACTTACAAACAACCTCCTATCCAGACCAGGGAAGAGCAATGGAAGAAACACGAGCAAGAACGGAAGAAGAAAGCCAAGGTTCTGGGAGCTCGCAGGGGCCTTATTATGGTTAAAGACAAATGATTTTTAACCCCTGTAAATATTACTTCATTCTGAATTTGCTTTCCTTGTATAAATATTTCTACACTGTCCTTTTTTTTCCTACAGATAACTTTTGTTCATTATCTATGTAGTGTGAGTACTTCATGTCCACAGCTCTGAAAGTTATAAACATCTTAAAGCTCATAAATTCTGTGGAATGGCTTTAAGTGTTTGTATAGCTCAATTTTCTGATGAGACCCATCTCAGATTCTTAACCTAGATCTGTAATGTTAACATCCTGTTTGCTGGTGCTAATATTAACAGACTGGCAGTACTCTTCCAGCTCGCAGCATCTACCCAAGGGCAGTGAGCTGCACTACAAGCTTCAATAGAATCTGAACAATGTTAAGTGAGTAGGGAAAGCCACTCCCTCAGCCCATACAGAAGCTACTAAGCTTAATGAGCTGGCCCCATGGTTTGGTGATAAATCAGTATTGTATCTATGGGAAAAATGTTTTGTTTAGCATATAAGTGCCTGTTTCTTTGTCATTGCCATTAGTTACTTGCTATGTTCTTAAAAATAAAAATCTACAGCTGGAAAAAACAAACAAACAAACAAAAAAAAAACAAAATACAGAGTCCTAGAATTGATATTGGTGGAAAAGATACTGATATGTAAGAGTCCGGAAACTGAGCCCACAGGAACCCAGCCGGAGGGGGCACTGCTCCAGAATAGAGACTCCAAAGGGAAGTTCTTTGGTCCTGGGAAGGTTTGCTGGATTCTGGAGCTGTGCTCAGAGCACACAGGGATTAAAAGTGCCTACCATTCCTGCTGAGCTTGCCAAATTACCTCCTGCTCTACTAGAATGGCCTGTGGCTACCTAACAGCAACCTGTTCCTACATAGGCCCAGGAATTGCTGGCTAGATTGGAGGGGCTGGTGTTATAGGTCGGCAGCCAGCACCTGGATAGATTGGAATTATCTAAAGTGCGACTGGGTAATGCTTTTAGAGCTGGGATATCTCTCTCATGAGGTGAATCTTGCTTTCAGAAAAACTGGATTTAAGTCCTCATATTTCTGTCTTCCAATTTGGGTCAATTACTGAGTTTTTATGAAATGTGAAATCTTCATTTTTAAACTGAGGAAAAGAATGTCAACATCCCAAGGATATTAGCGATTAATGAATATGATTTATAAGATAGCATCTAAAGTAGAGTAAGATAAAGGTGATTTAAAGAGCTCTTTAACTTGTTTATTAACTGAATAGAATTTTCAAACAATATGCAGGAAGTGAGTATTTTCTCAGAAGATAAAATATTTCATGTATCTTAGGCCTTGAGATCAAATAGAATAAATCACTGGTTTTCTCCTTTACACAGGAGATAAATAGTACCAGTTGTGATTGTTAAGAAATGCATGGAGGGGCTGGCAAGATAGCTCAGTGGACTAAAGCCTGCTTAGGCAAGCTTAGGCAAGCAAGGGATGGCAGTTCAATTCCCAGCACCATATGCTGCACCAGATCTGCCCCCTGGGCCGGCTGGGCTGGCCAGAGTTTAGATGTAGTGGCGTATGCCTGTAATCCCAGCGCTGGAGAAGCTGAAAGCGAGAGGATCACCATGAGTCTGAGCTGTGTAGTGAGACACTATAATAACCAGATATATTTTTTAAAAAATATGGGGCCGGGGATATGGCTCAGTAAAATAAGCGTTTGCCAGGTAGACGCAATGGCCTTAGTTCAATCCCAGGTCCTGAAAAAAAAAAAAAAAAAAAAAAAAAAAAAAAAATGCATGGAATGTTTGATCCTTAGAGGAAGAGAAAAGAGAAAAACAGACAAAGTTATATCAGAACTAATTTTTATTAAACCTTCAAATGAACAAACAACTGAAAAAATGCAGCATCATTTATTGATATTCACAGAAAGTGATAGATATTATAAAACTAGTTTGAGAAGGCATAAAAAATGTAATCTTTTCCCTTGTCACCACTCACTAGCCCTACATCAGCACTGGTCACTGGTATCTTTCCAGGCTCTTTTTCCCCCGAGCTCCAGACACAGTGGCATAGTTGCTCCATATTAGTCAGAGTTCTTTAGTGGAACAGAACAAACAGAATGTACATCTTAGTACACAAGCATATTTATTAGATTGGAGGGCTAGGGGATGAATAGTTCTGAGGTGGACTGTGGCCCAGCTAAAGAGCCTGTGAGCATGCTAGCTGCTCAGCCCAAGGAGCTGGAGGCCTCCGCATAGTGGAGCTGAGTGTGCAGCACCCGTCACAGGGTAAAGGCCTGGAAGCTGCCCGGAGAGGTGCTGCTGTGAGTCCGAGTTCCAAGTGTGAAGGGCCTTGACTCCGATGTCCATGGCCCATACAGCAGGCCGATACGCTCCGTATCAAGATGAACCCAACTGTGCACACGTGACTTTCTTCCTCCTCCACTTTATTCCATCTAGGTCTTCAGTCTGTGGGTCAGTGTCACCCGCGTTCATGGTGCTCCTTTTTCCCTCAGTTCACTGACCCACAACCAATAAGCTCTGGAAACTTGTACACACACACACACACACACACACACACACACGTAGAACTAAACTTTAGAATTTTTCTAGGCACTCCTGAACTGGCCAAATTCACAACCAAGATGAACCCTTACGTCCTCTCACCTCAAGCAACAATTTTGAACAAACTCTGGGACTGCGCACTTACTATGTCCCGTGCCTGAGGGGTCCTACCCTTGCATTGCAGTTCTACGATTGGCTAATGCAGCAGCATTTCAATGCAAGATTTCCCTTACGCCTTTCATTAAAATAGTAACTTTCCAGCACCAGAGAGAGAGAGAGAGAGAGAGAGAGAGAGAGAGAGAGAGAGAGAATATGCACTACTCCTTGCCATTGTCTAGCTGCCCTAGAGGGAAACCACCATTAAATGAGGCATTTATGTCTATCTTAAGTTTGTTTTCATTACATAGAAAAATAGCACTTAGTAGGTCTTTGATGAACTTTTATTTTGAAGAGTCTATAGAGCTATTACGGAATGACATGGGAATTACTCAATATTCTCACTACGGGAAGATTTTGCCTAATAATGCATAAGTGATTTAATGAATATATGTCAAAGTAATTTTTCAAGAGTTTAATAGTTAAGCAGAGGTAATATTAAAACTGCAAAATGTTGCTTACTAATAACATAAGAAATAGCACATTTCATGATATTACACAAAAAATGGGAGAAAAATCTAAATGGAAATATAGACACATATCAAAACTTGAGAAGAGTTACACAATATGCTTAGATGAAAATTTCTTTTGATAATTAAATAAATATAGAAATAAAAGGAACATTTTCACATATACGTATGATCAGATTCTTTTATTGGAAACATTCACTATACATGATCACTTGAAACCATGAAAAAAAGGAATTAAAATAATAGATTAAATTTAATGAGGAAACATGAATTTTCAATAGCCTATGAAATTGTAGTTAACTTCTATAACAATCCAAATAAGTGGAAGTTAAAAAGCATCATATGGTGTCTTGTCCCATCTTTCAAACTGTTTAAACTGCCGAAGCATCCAGGCTAGGAAATGATGAAATCTGTTTTAGTTACTTGTCTCGTTGCTAAGACAAAATAACTGACACCCACAGTTACAGGAGGAAGAATGTATTGAGGTCACAGTTTGTGAGATTTGAGGCCGCAGTTGGCAGGATCCACAGAAAGTAGCTTGGCACAGGGCATCACATAAGAATACAGTTCATGGTGCCCACAAGGTAGCAAAAGCAACAAGGGAGAGTGAGAGGTTGGGCTGTTTCTCTTCCTTATATTGTATGCAGGCTACGCAACCCAGGCAGAGCATCCTGCTGGAACCTGAATCCAAGCACGGGATCAATAATCATTCATAAACTCTAGATTCACCAGCGCGTCACCTTTAGTGTTTCATGTCTCACGTCATCTTTTGCCAATTTTGCTCTACTATTTCTACTTTAATTTACATGAAGAGAATATATCATCATATGATGTTAACATCTCTACTGATTTTTATTACATTTTTAGGATGATTTCCTCATTGGTTACTACCAGGCTTATTATAAATATTCTAGTACATTCTCATACTAAGTTAATTCTAGTCAGCTACAGAAATGATGTTTTATATGGTTTTATTTCATTCTTTTTTGGTATTACTAATGGTAATACCACAGTGTAACATACTCTCTTGGTTACTTTTCTCTTGTTGCTGGGACAAAATACCTGACATCCAAAATGAAGGAATGAACTTTTTTAGCTCACAGTTTGTAGAGGTTTCAGTGCATAATCAGCAGAGTCTAAGACACATGACACATGACAGAGGGCAGCAGCTGATTGGTACACTGAAACAGCAAAGAGCAAAGAGAGCTAGGAAACCTCTCTCCCCTCCTTGTACTACAACTACGCTATCTGCCCCAGGGTGGGTGTAGCACCCACACCCACAATCCCAGCATTAGACCATGAATTAATCTCTAAGTCTAGATGCCTGCCACAGTGACTGCATGAGCTTTGGTGGGACACCTAGGCACAAACCATAGCACAAAATAGTGCAGAAGTATTACTACAGGCAGCCGAGTTAGATAAAAAATATTATAGACAGTCAGACAGGGCCAGGCCCTCAAAGGAGACAGCAAAAAAGACCAAGACAACTATGGAAGGGACAGATGCTCCTGCTGTGAACCAGACCTAAAGACCTAAAGACCAAACAAATACTAAAAGATTAACACCTGGGATTGATATTCTAAATAGGTATCAATCACCTGGAAAGACCCAAGTGAGTCACTAGCACAACCCCCAAAAAGAAGAGACCCTGTTTATATTCATGCACACTTGCAACATGACTCGCTTTCCCATTTTTTTTTAATTTTATTTATTTATGTGTGTGTTTGTGTGTGTGTGTGTGTGTGTGTGTGTGTGTGTGTGTGTGTGTGAGAGTGTGTGGCCAGCTCAGTCCACCAGGGGGCGGGCTAGCTGGCATGTGGTGCTTGGGGGTTGAACCGCGGTCCCTGTGCTTTGCCAAGCTTGTTTTAAGTAGGTGCTTTAGACCACTGAGCCATCTCACCAGCCCCTTGCTTTCCCATTTGATACTAGATATAATGTTTTACCTGAGAAATGGTGTTTGTAATCCCATTTGTTGACCATAGTTTTGTCCAACCCCATATCCACCTAAGTGAGTTTCCCCTTTCTCTACCTTAGCCCCACATGGTTTTACACTTTAAAAGT